TATATATTCAAACACTCTCCATGCACTTTTTTCATTACAAAAAAGGAATAATTTTCCTGTCATGTACTCTTGAGAAGAAGCATTTTGATATCATTTTATTTCCTCTATGAAGCAGTGTGTGTCGATTTTGCAAAAATTCAATGTTTGAACTATATTTCTCAACAAGGTTGGTATACACAAATTTTGTGTTGAATAAATTTGTGATTTTATATCGTTTTGTTCGTTACACGATTACAGCTGATTTACTTGTGAAATCGTGCAATATTTTATTTATTTGAATTTAACTTTTGTCAGAACAAATATTAGTATTGTAAACAAACAAGTTACGAAACCTTCAAAATAAGAAGCACCCTGGTAATTGTTGATTATGTAGTCTTATTTCAGTTACTAACTTAATATTTGCTCCTTTCCATTGGATCGGGTTTTGTGTGTTAACAACCGGACAGCGATGGAAGACTTGGTATATGTAAGATTTAATTTTGTGTCCACTTTTATTTTAAGATATTGTATTCACTTTGTGTTTAAGTTATATTTTTCTAGTTGTTTTTATCTCATTCGTTTTGATTTTTTGTTCATTGTGTATGTGGCTATTTATATAACGATTTTTGATTTAAGTATATTTTGGTTTTATCCATAAATTGCTCATTTAGATTTTATTTCGATTAAGTTCATGACTGCCCGGCATGGCCAGGTGGATAAGGCGCTCGACTCACAATCTGAGGGTCGCGGGTTCGAATCCGCATCCTACCAAACATGCTCGCCCTTTCAGCCGTGGGGGCGTTATAATGTGACGGTCAATCCCACTATTCGTTGGTAAAAAAAGTAGCCCAAGAGTTGGCGGTGGGTGGTGATGACTAGCTGCCTTCCCTCTAGTCTTACACTGCTAAATTAGGGACGGCTAGCGCAGATAGCCCTCGTGTAGCTTTGCGCGAAATTCCAAAACAAACAAACAAGTTCATGACTATATTAATTTAACATGGTTCTTGGGACCTTTGTTTGAATAGTTTCCATTTATGTATGTCATGGCAGTAACTTCTAATTTAATTTATTAGAAATTACGTCCCTGTTAATTAAATTTATTCTTCAGCTTTAAATTTTGATTTTTAAGGTTCAAATCTAGGAAAGCTCTGAGATAAGGAAGGGGAAATTGTCGCAGTTGAGAAACTACATTTCATCCTTGCTTAATTACAAAATGTACCTTTATTCAAGTAACATTTTTCAGTAGATTACTTACCATTTCTCCCTAGGAGTGTAGGTTATAATAATCTTGAGAGGTGGTACAGAGATTTTACAAGTTAGTATAAACTGAGAAAATTATCCTTTCAGTGTATAACACGAATGATCACTAGCTAAAGTTAACCTATGGTTGTGGAATATCGTACACTACGACCTTTCTTTCTACCTAATGTCAGTGCTCCAGATAGCTAGTGTATTTACGTAAAATACGCATAATTTATGAGATACATGTCATTTTTTTATTTTACATGTATCAATTACGGATGCACTATCACTGATACGCTATAATACGAGTTGATATACCTACTAGTTGCACCTTGTCAAAATGGCTATTTTCCACATATACTTGCATCGTGCTGATAAAGATGGCAAATCAAAACTAGAAGTGTAAAGATACATGAACGTCCTGATAGCAACGTATCAGTGGTAAATTTCAGAATTGATAACAGTCGCCAATATCGAAAACATTGATAGTTTGAAAACTTGATTACTTTCCCCATTCTGTTTTTGTCTAAACTGTTTCTCGGTAATTTCCTTTTGTTTTACCCTAAAAGTAGTCATATCACATCTACCATTAGCAATTTTGCTCGAAAAATGGACTGAGCCCATATTGGGAAATTAACTATTACTATAATTCTGAATTTACTGTGTAAATTAATATGGTTGCGATCCTAAAGCTAATGTTAGTTACTATCGAGTGTCACTTTCTTGCTTGCTATGGTTTGTTGGTGTGTATTTACAAAGAGTCACAATATCTAATAAAAAAAAAACAACTTAAGTGTGAAAAAAAAAGGTGTGGCCAAAAAGGATTGAGCGTGCGACTTAGAATGAATGAAATCAAAATTGTCGACCAAACTGGTAGCTACATTTACTGGATTGATACGAACTTTACAACAAATTAGTTAGCTAGGCCGTGCATTTTGTTTTACCCACCATCATGCCCCAAATTGAACAAAATACGCGACCTAGCTAATTAATGAATAAATATTTGCTGTAAAATTCTTATCAATGCTATAAGTGTAGCTAACAGTTTGGTCGCCAATTTTGATTTCATTCATTTAAGTCGCACGCTCAATTCCTTTTTTTTCTTTTTTTGGCTGCACCTTTTTTTTTTCCACCCCTAAAGTGTTTCTGATTAGATAACATATAGCGAGTTCATTAATGCCTTGCAACATGTTTATGGTTGTTCAATAGTACATCTTATACCAGATGAGCAGAAAGACAAAACATTATCTTTTAATAAATATTACTATATTCACTCCTAGGTAAAGAAACATTTATTTTCCATAAAAAAATATTAATCTATTGACGAATCAAATATAAATCGAATTATCTGCAGAATTTAACAACTCAAGAATTTAGCTTGCCTCTTCTTACATGTTCAACAAGACCCATTTCTGAACAAGTAAACTGTCTTTCACTTAAATTTATCTGTGGATTATATAACTCTGAATACAATTTTCAATAGCTGCTTGTAAACTGATTCAAATCTATAAAAGAAACATCTAACACTAATATGAAAAATTAATTTATCATGAAATAGTTCATATTAGGACTTCATTGTTTAGATATTTACGTAAAACTACGTTTTAAAGACGTACTGAATTAAATCCTAAAAATCCTAATTGAAGATAAGCCTGCTTATGCAAGTGTTGTTCTAATATTAAGTTTATGATACGTGGATAAGCAATACAGATTTAGATTGATAAAGCAATTGGGTAGTCCAGCCTTAATGATGAGCTGGGCAATTTTGCAGTTGTTAGCAGTTCTGGAGAATCTTTTTTAAACCTGAAACAATAATTTTTAACATTTTCCTTACCTGAAAATGCATTTTGAATATATATATATATATATCTTCATCATATAGCTATTATTTCATGTCCACAACTTCTGTGCACATTCCTGCACAAGCCTTGAACAGTGTAGTGTTTTTGCACTAGATTATGGTGTAATAATCATAACAATATTGCCTTCCACAAGTAGGAGAGCGACACATCTTCCATATACAGTAATCCCCATGAGCACTAGCATTTTAACACAATCTTATTCTTGATCAGGCAAACTAAATACGCCAAACGTGTGAAGTTTGTGCAGAGGGGTGATAATCTATTTGAAATATATTGTCAGGTGAGGAAAATGTTAGCTTCGAAAAAGTTACATGCCTCTGCACTACAAAGAGCTAAAATTCTGCAGTGAAGATAAAGGAGAGGGCAGTGCAGAAAAAGAAATTACAAAAATGAGTTCCATTCTGAAAACACCATCACAAAGGAAGAGCCCTGAGGCAGGTAGCATTTGGTGGGAGACTCCATCCATCTAATGCTGGGAAAGTTTTTTGCCCATTGTTATTGTTGTATTGGTTGTCAGGAGAAGAGGTATATCAAAAGAAAGTTTCACATGAATCGTGTCACTTAGATGTGTGAAAGTTAATATTTTTCAACACTGAAAATGCATTTCCGATAGATACTTACCTTCTCTTACATATTAGCTTTCCTGATTTTTATGCTGTCCCCTATATGTACAATTTTTTTCCTCGGCACTAGCCTTGAGCGTCCCACCTAAACGAGCATGTTTCCACGTGCTATTGTTGTGCTTTAGCATACAAATGAGCATGTGACACACCCTCCTAGCATAGCTGATTCCATCCATACTGCCTGTTCAATTACCATTTGAAATTAAGCAAGAAAAGATGCACTGGAGGTAAATATCTATCAGAAATGCATTTTCAGTGTTGGAAAATGTTTAACTCCAAAATGATACCTCACATCCCCTCGAATATTAACTAGCATTCCACATTGAAAGAGTGGAGGGACCAGTTCAAAAGTTACCTAGATGAACTCGGTTTGGAAAGTGCCCAAAAGAAGCTTGTGGAGTGTAATGCCCTATGCCAAATAAAACATAAGGGCACACCCATGAAAGACTGCAACTCTTCTGTACCATGGTATACACTTTGTCCATAAGAAATATGTCACTAAGTTGGACAGAAAATAAGCACAATCCAGAGTCTGAAATATGGACATGCCACATGGTGTATTGTGGCCAGTGCACATCTGAACTTACATGGTGGGTCAATGGGTCAAAATCATATTTCATCGGGTATTTTTAATATGGTCCATAGTTGGAGAGTGGTCCCTTTCAACCACATAAGTGAGGGCTTATTTATGTTGGCTGGTTCTACTCCTGTCCAATACCTGACCACCCAGAAATTGACATCCAGACAACGGTAGGATGTGTAAAATCCAGCCAGAGGGGTGAACTTATACTTAGTGGGTCATCTCTAGGCTAAAACCAAGTAGCATTGGGAATTTTTCGTTCGTTCTGCATTAGGAGGATGGTCCACACTATCTACATCAACAGAACACCACTGCCCTACTCGTAAAATTGGTCACACTCGTGAGGAAGCCTCCATGATTCACCATCCCAGCAGCTAGGAACTGGTGAGTGAAAAGGACTCACGTACTCAATTACAATAAGGAGAGTACAGTCTGGATTGAGCCTTGTTTAGCAAACACTATACCACAAAGAAACCTCTAGAGTTCTTGAAGAACACCTCATTTTATTGGTGAGTGTGACAGGCTCAAACAGATCCACAGTATGGAGTTAAATATAAGTATACCCTGGCAGGCACCACATACCACTTAACAGGATCCTGAGATGTAAAATATCGACCCTATAAACGTAAGGGAAAACAAAAAAAAACTTAACCAGTCAGAGCTGGTAAGGTGTATGTAGAATGGCAATGGGAAGAAGTCGATATCCTGAGGAAGAATAGACAGTCAGATGATGAAGGTAATGCGTGACAAAAGTGTGTAGGGTACTCCACATACTAGCTTGCACAATACACTCCAATGGACAACAGAAGCAAGCAGCCAGAGAAACAGTAAGGTGTAAAGCAACCAGAAATTTTTTTAGATCGTAAATATGCCATTTCAAGGTGAAGGATAGAGGATCCTATTAATCATGCAGAGCCCATTAAAGATGACACATAAAAGAATGTCCCAAAGGGATAAGGAATTTTATGTAAGCCCAAGTCCCCAAATGAGAACCTCCTGAACAGTGGAAATATGAGAGAATATGGAACTAGCAACTAAGTGCTCCATGCCTGTTATACAGAGAGGAAGGCTGCAAACTACTGAGATGTGAATTGTAAAACACCCAAATGAATGAGATAATGGGTGTGAGATGTGACTTCTCCAGTTTGACCAATCAACCCAAATATGTGGACTCTCGAAGGAAGAGAAGAGTGGTCGTATGAGGCTCATCAAGACAGAGCCAAAAGAAGCCACTCATCCATATAATGGTGAAAATGCAGTCCCAGGCCATGAATGTGACAAGCAAAAGCTTTCACTACCCTACAAAGCTAGGCCAAAATGGGGAGCATGGAATTGAAATATCTGATTCTGGGGAACAATCCAAAGATAACACCAGGAAGCATGGGAAATCAGAATGTGAAGGTAAGCATCCAAGATGTCTTTCTTGTCCCTCCAGCCACCTAGAACCAACAGACCATCCAAGCATGAGAAAATACTCCATGATAAGAGAGGGGAGGTAAATGGATTAATTGAGGATTGAAAGCTTTATAACTGGATTCCAATTCCCTGTTTTCTTGGGAATGGCAAACAGTTGGGAACATAGTCCTGGAGAAGGAAAAAACTCCAATTAATAGCATCTTTTGCTAAGAGGTCCAACACTGTTTTGTACAGATGCTGGCAACAAATTGGATCCCCAAGAAGAGGGGAAAAATGGGAACAGGAGACAAAAGAGTATGATAGAAAAATCAAGAGGCAGGCCTTTTGATAACCTTTGAAGAACCCAACAATTGGTTGCAAATGGGTGCCAAACTAACTGAGCTAACTGTGTCCAAACCCAATGGATAGTCACCATTGATACTGATGGTGCTGATGTTGATGGTTAGAGTAATGACAAATCATAATTCCAATGATAATTGGAATTTGTGATTGCTTAACCAGCTATTATCTTGTAGGTAGGCAGCTGAGTAAAACTGTGTAGTTGTGCTATAATTCAAGCCATTTCATATAGGAGAAACACAAATTAATCAGAAGCATTATAAATAATCCCTGTGTCCTAAGGCAAATCCCAAACTCATCTAATTGTACCAAACCATCGGCAATGGTTTGGTTCAAAATGTAGGGAAATTTCCTGTACTATACAACCACATACATTCCGCCCTACTTACCAATCGAGTGATGTATCCTTCTGTCTTGTACCAGTAGGATTGCAATGCCCAATAAAGAAATTCTTATCGACTTCACCAGTTTTGGACGATGGAAAAAATGGGATTTTCCATACTTCACTAGAAGAAATGGACATGAGGATCTATGTGGGCATTAATACTGATGATTGTTTGGATTGTCATAGGGATAATCATCTAGAATTGGGTCCAACACTAAGATTTCATGACTAAAGAAAGTAAGCATGAGCCAGATGTGAGAACAGGCACACACCTGATGCTATCACTTTTTAAAAATTGCAGAATACCCTGGAAGATAATATATACATATATATAAATTGCTAAAGCAGTTTTGCAAAAACTCCATCTCAACAGCTGGCAACCAGCAGCAGTGAATGGAGAGAGACAAAAGCCAAGTTAGATAAAACTTCCCTGTAGTGTAAATAATGAGATTAATCTGTTGTGACATTAGAGTGCCTTTGGTAACAGTGCACTGTCCAAATTGATTGTGTTTTTAGCTTTTTTATATTCTATTTGATGTTTTGATTTTGTTTGTACATACAAATGTATTGGCCTTTCTGATTTATTTTCATTTTATATCTTTCTTATACATAATTTACATTACTTGGCTTCATTATTAATTTACAAATAATGACATTGACTTTTTCATTTTCTACATTTTTTACTTGGTTTACATTCCTTCTTATGGTTTTTATATATTTATGACTCACATGTTTGGCACAAATAGCCTTAGTGTTTTGCCCCATAAAGCCTTAACTAACCAACTAACTACTGTGTGGGAGTCATCCACATCTCCTCCTGCAGCATCTCCTAAGGTATGTCAAAGGCTAGAGTCAAGAGAAGCTTTAAGACGACAAATACGATGGGAGAATACATTAAAAATAAGAAAAGGATCATCACATTTAAATCAAAGTTACCAGAAGACGTGGGACCTTATGGCAATAAAAATGTTGGCATGTGCCCTAAAAAGGAGCAGAACAAGTGTGATAATATTGAATAGACTGAACAGAAGAGATTATAGGTAGTAATGATTATAGAGAAAGGGGAGGATGGAATGGAGATAGCATCAAATCAAGCCACCCATAACTTGGAATAATCCAGGATGATGATGGACCCTTTTTTTATGTAAATAGTGTGGAAGAAAGCTAAGACCGAAGTGAATCATATCTCCCACTTAGGGAAACAGGAATAAATATGTTTGAAGCATATAAAAGGAGGTTGAACTGCACCAAACACAGAGCATCCTCAACCAGAACTGTAGTCTGGGACTGGATAACAGCTAAGTGGAGGAGAGGTGAAAATGTAGTAATAAGATATTCATAGAGCAAACATGTCCACTGATAACACCAGAGGATGGAGAATACACTCTATTGGAACGGTCCAAATGAGATAAAATGAGACTACAGATGATGACAAACTGAGTAGACATCAGCTCTATGGTGCAGGTGGAGAGAAACCTCTCTCCTCAAGACCAGATGTCGAAATGAGAACTGCATCCACCAGAACAGAGGCAGTGAAAGCCACAATATCAGGGACAAGTAGCGGCCAAACATCCATAGAGTAGTGTAACAATAAGTGTGAAGAATATAACCTCAAAATAAAAGTCCACTGGACCCAATGAAAAAATGGGGATATAACAAACTCAAAGGGAAAGACAGTGAACCAAATATTCGACTGTTGCAAACAAACTAAAGAAAGTGGAAGGAAGATCCCACAGAACTAAAGTCAATGGTAGCTTCAGAAACAAATCTCTTCCACGATCTGTAATGGCCAGCCCTCAACGAGGGGGAGGCATGGATAGTAACAAGAAGACAAGGAATAGAGGTGACGACCCCATTAGGCTCTATATGTTGAGAAACTCCTTGTGCCTCCAAGGTAAAGAAAACAAAGTGAGCTGTGTTGATGGTTGATGAGCAGTTTCAGAAAGATGCCATTGTTTAAAAAAATGCCCCCAAGAAACCACAACAAGAAAGATAGCAAGGTAATAGCCCTTGTAGTGCAGAGAAACATTTCTGAAATGTTTAAGTCCACACACATAGTTGCAGTAAATAATATTCTAAAGGCTATTTCAAAAAGCGAAAATATTAAACAGACATGTATATGTATATATATAGAAACCTAGAATTGTGTTAACATTAATATTCCCAACAGGGAAACTTTTTCCAACATAACCACTTTTAAGATTGCAAATACAACTCTAATAAAACATATGCTACTTGATAAATAGTTTCCAATTATTAAAAAGAATATAGAAATGCATGCAAACACACACAAATGTGTCCCATTAATATCAAAGTTAACATTTTCCAACACTAACAATGTATTTCCAATAGACACTCTACTCCCATCTTGCTTTCCTGATTCAGTGCTGCCCTCTATATACGAACTTTTTGCTCACCTACCTAATGTAACACGTGATATTGGTACAAGCAAATGATCATGGAAAACCCCACCACCAACAGGAGTGCAACATCACCTCCTAGTTGAACTAGCTCTCTGTACTGATTGTTCAATCATCACTTTGAGGTTAGACGAGAAAGTAAGATGCACTAAAAGTGGGAAGGATGGGTGGAAAGAGTGAGAGAGGTATCTAATGCAAATGCATTTTCAGTTTTCGAAAATGTTAGTTCCAATATGATATATAACTTCTATTCTCATCTAGAAAGAATCCCATACTGAAGTGGTAAGGGGACTAGTCCAAAATATTACCCAGATTAGTCTCCTTTAGAAAGTGCCAAAAGAGAACACCTGGAATGCAACACTCTATACCTTGAAACAGTGTGGGACACACCCTTGGAAGATTGCATCTCGTCTATACCATGGTATACTATTTGCCAAGAAAAGAAGTGTCACAAGGATAGGTAGAAGACACAAGCACAGTCCAGAATCAGGCTTTGAAAGTAGTATATATATAGTGTGACTAGGGCATATCAGATCATATGTGGTTGGTCAATTCCAGTCCAAAACCAGCTGGCACACAGTATTCGGCATCCAGGCCACAGTAAGAGAAGGGTCCATCTCCATCTCGACCCCAGTGAGACAGAATGGGAGAGGAACATCTACCCTGCAAATGGTCATGCAGTAATCCAACACCAGACCACCCAAGAACCCATCTTCTGAGTAGTGGAAGAATGGAAGAAATCTGGCTGGAGGGGTGAAGTGTACTACTTGGACAAAACATTACCACCCTACACATTTGATCACATTTGGAAAGTAACCTCCATGGTGAACCACCTGAGTGGCAAAAGATCTCATGCTCCACTAGAAGTAAAAATGGGTATAAAAGTATGGTGAAGAGTACAGAGGAGTGTATCACCATAAGACAGTACAATGGGTGACCCAGGTAACCCTATATTTTAAAAGCAGGCTAGTAATTGGTCTTAAACTAGGCATGGAGGATGGGCAGGAAACCCCTGCTTGCTTTTCTCATACTAGTTCATGAGTGGTTAGTGTGTCGATCGAGCCTTGTTTAGGAAAATATGCACAGTGAAGATACATCAAGCAGTCTTGTGGAAAACCCATGTAATAGGTGAGCACTTTGTTAAGCCAGAATGTTCCTACACCATGCAGATTTCGGTTAAATACACCCTGACAGGCAACATTTGTCACTGTTTGAAATCCTCTAAGGGATTAGAGGGTTGTTAAAAGAAGGTAAGAAAAAATAATTTCCCATTCAAAGATGGTATGATGCATGAAGAATAATGACCACCACTCTATAGCTAGATGAAAATGACCAGATGACAGGGATAGTGTGTATCAAAAGTGTATGAAAGGTCGTCCAAATGCCAGCCCAAACTATCTCCTCCAATAGATGATAGAAGTGAGGGACAAATGAATTATGTATAATAATAATAAGGCACTATCAGAAGGCCCCAACAAAAAGTGTCTTGAATGACTGATAGACTACGAGGGAGATAATGAACAGAGGTAAGCACAAAGGAAGAAACTGGGCCAGTCTTGACTGAAAGCAGCCACTGCCAGTGCCAATTGATGCAGAACAGGAAACCAGAATAGAAGAAGCTTAACATTGTGGTAAATGGGAAATACATTGATGTGAGGAGTACCAAGGTGAGTGTAAAGCCATCGAAAATCGCAAGAATTGAGGAATTAATCCATGATAAATATCTTGTCGAGTCTCAAACAATGATTTGTGCCAAGATTCAGCGCATGTGAAAAACAACAAAACACACAAGACAGACTTGTAGAGAACGAGTCCAACAGAAGAGGTCGAGGGTTTGAAAATACATAGCAGCCAACTGCCTATCTGGCAATTGATATAGGATACCAATGTTGAATTTTCTGAATCATTACCAACCCTCATGTAGAAAATAATCTAAAGTCCAGCAAAACAATAAGAGTTCCTAAACGTTTATATAAAGGGTCGATACCCCCTGTTTCCATCAACCCCAAATACTCGAAAGAGACAAGCACCTCAACCACTATGAAAGCATCTGCAAAAAAGATCCAAACATGAGAGAGGAAGAGGAACACCCTTCTTT